GTGACGTGTTAGCACTATATTACAATCATTAAAAGTTCTCTATATTTTTAGTTCTGTCTAAATTACTTTTCATTTCAATTTAATTCATTGTCATTTATTATGTATTAAGTCTCTACTGTTATATTGTTTCTCATTTCTTTGCTTAATTTCCTAGAGGAGTAGTCTATATAGACTGCGTGTGATTTATCATCTTTGCATCTATAATTTACTATAAATCATGTAATCTTGTAGAAGACTCGGATTATATTTACATATGTGAGAAAAATCTAATGACTTATTATATAAAGTGGTTCTTAGTCAACAGATCTTTATCTGGATTTCTTTTCCGAAAATCGATTAATGCCACACACTCGGATCGAAGAAGTGCATTTCCTAGAAGCACTGGCGCTAGATAGACCCATCATGTACTCGCACAATGTAATTTTTTGTATTAAGAATCATAATACATTTTCACAATCCGCCTAGGAAACCCTATATCAAATGTTAAAAATAGATCATTTTAGTTGTATTCTATTTATTTCTTCTTCGTAAATTTAATAAAAAAATATATATATAAGCCTATATATATATATATAATTTGAGTGTTCTCTTGCTTAGATTGATACGTTTAATCTGTTTTATTAAATCTTCGTTGACATGATTTATAATTTTAGCCTAACAAGTTTATTTATCTTTTATAATTGATAAGATAGGAAGACAGATTTAAAATAAAGGTCATAAAATACAAGTTTAATCAATCTAAAATAAGATCTGAAAGGAATAAAACAATTTTAAGACTGTATAAATTATAATATTCTTGTAAAGTATACAGGATTTTATAATGATGGATATTGTTTCTAAGATTAAAATATGTATAGAGGACATAATTTAATCTATTCGGAATAGATTATGGTTGATAAATATTTTAAAAATCATCATTTCTGTCGGATGTAAGAGAAACCTGAATTGGAAGTTTAGATTTATTTATTTTTTTGAATTTAAACGGAGATTATGCGGTCAATTTAAAATCTTTTATCAATTTCAATTAAGGCTTATACTAATTATAAGAAAAGATAATGGAAACAACGTAGTTAATAGAAGAAACTGTCTAAAATTAGGAGGAAGTAAAAAGTCGAATTTAATAGTATTTTACTTCCTAATAAAAAATTCAGATGTTGAGGTGAATTACATAAATATTCATTAAAAATGAAACTGGTTTTATATCTTCTTCATTTATTACTTTTCACAAAATGAGAACAACTCCCAAGGCTCCAGAATTACAAAATTTATCTCAAAAAATAGATAACCTTCTTGTATATCTATACAAACTTGTATACAGTTTTCTCGCTTGTATAAAAATGTCCCTTTTCTACAAGAAACAATAATTTCCGAAAACGAAAGTCGTTTAGCTTTTAGATCCGAGTTAATTCGTTTTGTCTCATAATTCAGAAAAAAAAGACAGATATTGCTACAAAGAACTATTCTAATTTCAGATGTTACGGATGAAACTAAAACGAATGGAAAACTTATTCACTACAAGTAGGAATATAAATATCAGGTTTTTTTGTTCGCTATTATTTTACAAAATTCCATTTTTCAACTTTGATAGGTGGAAAAATAATTCCTTCTCCTCTTCCTCTCTTCTTTCTCTATTGGTGACATAAGATTTGTATATATATATTAAGAAATTTATTATCGGAAGTTATTGGTAGATAGAGATAATAAATATTAACTAGGATTTCCGATGACTTCGAGTATATTAACAGTTCAGGAGATTTTATCCACATTGGGATCTTCAATGGTGTGAATCAACAAAGAAATGTTATAATTTATGAGATTCTAAAACTGACTAACTGTGTTTTAAAATATATTTTTAATGTGAAATGACTGCTGGAATATGAACACATATATAATATAAGTTTATCACAGAAAAAATAATAAATAGCCTTTGTAAATTTAACAATGAGTCTTCTTCTTTAATATATTTTTTAAAAGTATAATTGAAATTTAATATATTTAGGCCTATATATATATAGGCCTAAATTAAAACATTTGATAATGAAATGAACATTTTTCCATACATTTTGGATTAGTAATGTAAAAATCAATCTGTAAAAGAAGTGTTTCGGAATTTGACATCTGGAAATTTAACTAACAAAATAATTAAAGTCATTATATTTTAAAATTTGTATCAATGAATTATTGATAGATCGATATCTAGTGGAAATATAGGGCATTTTGCAAATGAGGTCAATCATTTCGTGATGCGCCACTTCCATTGTCACATAATGTAATTTCTATTTATGGACTGTCCCGCACGCAGTCCCACGCTTTGCTTCTTTAGCGGAGAAAGAGAGCTACTGTCATTCTACACAAATTCGAATAAAATATCTTGTACAGTTTATAAATCATCCGTAGACGATTTGTTTCATTTTTTTTTAAAAAAAGGATTTTTTTCCCCTTCAATTTCTACTTTCAAAAAAAGCGTAAGTGCCGAGTAAAGAAATCAAAAAAAGTATCTCTCATCAGTTGCTTTGATGTTGTTGCTAACAAAATTATGCTTCAGTAGCATCGATGGTCGTAATGGTGCACTTTCCTAGTATAGTAGTTGCTGTTGAATGGACGTCGTTTTGGAGTTGAATAGGCTCTTCAGTTTGAATTTTCTAACTGTTGTTGATACTAGTTTTAAAAAATGATTCGTATTCTCCGAGTGAACGGTTTCGATTGTTTTTTTTTTAATAAACGGTACTAGAACATTAGAAAAAGTTATCGACAATTCTATAAGAAAAATTTGTTTTTCGGGGCAAAGGAGTGGATCTATTTACAACAAAAACATTAAGAGCAAAGAAGAAGAAAGACTGGAAATTGTTTCCTTAAATGTCAAACTATTTAAAAAATAAAATGAAAATATATTAATAAACGGAAAGAGAAAAGTTATATATCGAATAAAAAAATAATTTTATTAATTTTTGTTTAAATTTACAAGTAATACCCACAACTTGAAAAGTATTTATTCATCCTAATAAAATTCTTTTCCCCTTTCTCTTAAGTTTCAGACGAATAACGAGAATCGTTCCTCATTAATTAAAAGTTATATCATTCTATTCGAAAGATAAACCCTTTGGAGACTTATATAAATTTTTATCACTTCCATAAATTACAAAAATCGCTTATGCTCTATATCAAATAACAGCTTTATTTGGTAACACGAAAAACAAATCTCGGGCTTTTAACTAGATATGGATGAAAGATTTATGATTATCTTGTCACAGATTATGAAAGACGTAAGATGATCCAATAGCTTTTTTTCTTTTTTTTTTTTTTTATGCACATAAATCTAAATATCGAGTCTTTGGCTCCAACTCTTCTCACTCTCTTAGATAATTAGAAATGACAGTTTTTGCTTTTCGTATATAAAAATTTACATTTACTCCGTCAAATATCGCAATATTAAACAAGTAAATTTGTAATTATTTACTCACCAATGACGTTCACCATTGCACGCTTCTTTCTCTACTTTATTCATTATTCTATTAATCCACCTACGTTTTTATTTAATTAAACAATATAATATCTCGTATGAACTTATAAAATGATTTCCTTCTTTAATCTGAAAAGAAAATTAAAAAAAAAATTATTGGCCAAACTGGAAAGACCTATTTAGATGCTAATCGAAGCGGCTTCATTTTTCATCTCTACAAAGCTATCCGGCTTCCCACTTTAACTAAAAAAAAAAAAAAAAGAAGAGGAAGAAAAGAAAAAGAAAAAAAAAAATACAAACAAGCGAGTTATTCAAGAGCCGCGCGTATTTTGGCTGATCCAGCAGACCAGCTGATCCAGAATTGTCAAGAAGTAAGTCTGACTCACTCGGAACAGTTGTATGTGGATCAGCCAAGGATTTATATCTAAAGAGCATGCGCTAACAGCACTCAGCTGGAAGCAACATCCTGACACCGACTGAGCCTATCGATTTTTTTTATATTTTCGTGCCATTTTATAATTACTCTTCACTTCTACGATCCCGTTTAGAATAATAACAAGGGGGTAGGGGAAAAAATAAAAAAATAAAAAAAACATTATATGTATCTATATACAGTAGGCCTACGATATACATCTTGTTTATACGTAATAAATAATTTACTTATATATTTTTTTATTTCCCTGGAGGAGAAAAGAATATTATCGAAACGTTGAAATTTTTGTTTATTAGAACCTCGACCTCAATTGTTTTCACGTCGACACCCACATCGGTCGACGTCTGGATGGATGTCACGTGCTACACAATGCACTCCCCTCCTCTAATGCATCCCTAAACTGCGCATGAACTCCGGCATAGCTCGAATTCCACTTTTTCGGTAGTGTATGCATATATATATATATATATATAAGTGTATAAGAGAAATATCGAAAGTAGATGTAAAATGTTTTTTTATATATAAGTGCTTATATGTTGTGTTATTTTTTTTTTTATGTCGCGGTATTTTTGCGTGGGATTTCCGTCTGTAGATGCCATTCTTGACGAATAACGGTTACCAGATGTCCGGTAATTCTATATATTGAGTAGTCACGTGATTCCGAAGAAGAATAAGTTCGGGATGCTGCCTGACGGTTAATGTTTAAGCATTTTCCAAACTTATTTAAATTCGTTCGGGCCACTTTCCTAATTTTGTAAAACTCGAATCGTAAAATGAAAAACAATAAATTTTAAATGTTTCGTTAAACTTTTCTTCTATATGACACAATTTTAGTGAGAAGTTTTTAGAAATTTAACATTTAGTTTAGAAACTAAAAAAAAGAAGAAGTAACAACCATACCGGCATCAATTCTAGTCTCCTTTAAAGTCGTTTAGCATATACGTGCCACAGGATACATTTGATTTACAAGTCATCCTTGTCTTCCCCCACCTTAATTATAGAGGAAACAAGTAAAGTGAAGAAGAGAAAAAGAAAAAAAAAAAGAGTTGGGATATTTCACAGTTGCGCAGACGTGCTTCAATATATCCCTTTTCCTCTACTCTTCTGCAGATCGATATTCTTTCTCAGGTACAGCCATGTAAATGCTATCGGAGAATTAGTTAATATAGGTCTAGTAGGTAGTAGTAAATGTTTTTACGACGTCTGTTGCCGAACATTAAAAGTTGGGAGAAGTTGTCATTTGTTACCTTCTGCTATGTAATCTAGTTTTGATGAAACAGGTAACGCTTATTTTCTTTTTATTTTTTATTTTTTCCTCTTCCCCTAGTAAAGGTGTCCGAAGGTTTGTGATGGTTTTAAAATTAAATGATCGCTTTTTTTGTTATTAGTTTTACCCTCTGCTGATGGTTTTATAAGATGTATTTGGATAGTCATTGGAAAAAATATTGTTCGCGTAAAGGAAATTTATGTACTGGAGTTTTAAGGGAAATACTACACCGTTAGTAGATATGTAAACGTTACAGGAAGTGACAAATTAATAGGAAAGAGAGAAATAGATTTAGTAGAAAGAAGAGAAATGGAACAAGGTAGATTGAGCATAAGGATAAATATTCCGTGTAGATAGAATTGAATTGGGCAAACAAGCGAATAAAATAATATTTCGTGTATAGGATGAAGTATCGAGTGTGTTATATATTTAACCTATAACTAGACTGGAAGAAGTATATTTATTTAGGATAACTTAATTAATTAAATTTGGAAGTTATAACAAGGAACGTTGAATGAATGTAAGAGCCGTAAAGAAGATAAAAGAAATAGATTTAGTTGTAAAAGATCCTCTGGAATAATTAAAAGTTTAAAATAAAGGATTTGCTCAACTTATTTTGGATGAAACTTGAAGACAGGGTAAATTGAATAGATGGAGAAGACGGAACACGATAGCAAAAGAATATATATATATATATATGCATGACAGGAAAAGATTGATAGACGGACAAACAGGCAGGATAGACTGTAACAGATTGAACAGATAGGACAGAATAGAAAGTAAATATAGCATAGGAATAAATGTAGTAAAATATGTGTAACTTTTTCTTAAAAGAATGTATTGAAAACGTTGTTTAATAGAATAAAGGAATTGATGAACTTAGATTTGTTTCTAGTAAATAATAATAATTAAAGTTAATTGAGTAGACTAAGCCAAAAGCAAAATTGAATCGGAAGAATAAATATCGAGCACAAACAAAAAAGATATGTCAAAGCAAATGGTAAAATAAATATGTTAGATAAGTAGGAATGGATCAGAATAAATATCAACGGAATTGACTAAACACGTAGGTCAAATAAAATTGACATAGCCTGTGTATTTCGACTGGACAAACAAGATGAGAAAATGGCACAGAAACTGAATTAATATGCAAAACTGGGAGGAATGATTTCGAAAGCTAATCCCTTTTCTCTTCGGCTTCTTCGATCGCGGCAGTGGCAAAAATATCATCAGGTAGGTGGAAAGAGGTTGGTTCCCCATTTCCTGCCATCAATCATACATCTCTCGGTAGTGATAGGGAGGGGCAGATAATATCTTGGTGGAGCCCACAGGACTACTGGGTGGGTTTGACGTCCCCGAAATCCTCCGATTTTCTTCTCCAGTGGCCCCAAATTGCCACTATTGCAGGCTATTAAATATAAATGGAGGGTAAACATCTTGTTTCCTCCCTCCTTTTTGTCTTCTTCTAGATGACTAGAATGTCTTATGCTTAATAAGTGATTAATAGAATATAACTTTATGATAAAACAAGAAAGTTTAGATTTTTAATGTAATATATTACGAGTCCAACAGGTTTTTCAGCATTTGAGTTTTTGAGGTTTCTTCCAGGTTAAGATATTTAAAAGAGTGATTAAAATTTTAAAGTGCACAAAACGTACACACTCATGCCCTACTTATTGCATCGACAACAGGTAGAACGAATTTCATACAAAATATTTAAAATAAACTTTTAGGAGCCCCTTGTACCAACTACAAATTTTTAAATTTCCATGAGTCATGAGTGAGTCATTATAACATTGTCTATTATAACGTTATCTTCATAACCTGAGATAAATGTAAAAGATAAATTCCACATTCTTCACCGTTCTTGGAAACTGAGGTAAAGAATTTTGTAGAAACCATTTTTCTTCACTATTTTATTTATTCATCGCTATATTTTATTAAAAATAAAAGAAAAATTGTTTTCTGTTCATGCTACAACATTCAAACTTATCAAACATTTTATTGTAAATTATTTAAACCTTTCTCAAGTTATCTTATACCTAATTACCATGAAATTTTTACAATTCTTCTATAATTATTATCATAATTTGTTTAGAATTTTACTCGAATTAACTTTTTATATAGGCCTATATATATATATATATATTTTTTTTTTCCTACCAGTTCTCCAGATTGGAAGTCGTTTCAAGATTGAAAAATTAAGTTTTAATCCTCTTTCAAACTTCATCACGACTTTTCTCTATAATTAATAAGATTGAATAACGTCTTGCAATTTCAGAAAAGATACTAAAAATTAAACAAGCAATCTTAAACTTACAGTGCAAAATATCGTAACTTAATAATTTAGTAAAGCGTCAAATACGTAGGTTTATTTAACTTGATATAAATAGAAATTATAAAGTGGATAACTTTCGATATTACTAACATTCGAATTCTACGAAAATTTTAAAATTTCTGGCTTATCTTAAAAGGCGTCGAACAACGCGCAGCTGGTGTAGATAGCTTTCTCTGTTGATGTTTTTCCTTACGACGAACCAGGTGCAAAGGTTTAGTGTTTGACGAACAGAACTGATACACAATGTTCTGCCTAATCGACATTCTTCACTAACAGGATTTCCTTTTTGGAAAATTTTGATAAACAATCGGTTGCATCGCTTTCGTCTGCACGTGTATGTACTGACCCTAAATAGACTTTAGTTTTTCCTATGTAGGTGACAACCTCTTGAGGATGTACTGTACATATCATTTAATGTTGATATCATATTCCTCGGATTTAAACACACGTGTTAATTAATATGATATAAAATGTTTACAATTTTTCTTTTTTATACTCAAACATATCATTTGTATGTATTAATTTAAGCCATTTCAGATAACAGTTCTAGAACTAATGTCAATTTTTAAACTTTTAGTAATAATTTAACTTTAACGTTTCTATTCCTTTTCTTTCTAATATGATATTCTTCAAGTCTGTACTTTTTTTAATATAATTTTATAGTCATAATATACCAGTCGACCCCCCTATAACACTGTTGATAATTCCGTTTTATATGAATTCCACGTTGTACGAGTCACTTAGATTTTACAAATACGTGTGCCGGGCTGTGAACGGCTCACGTATTTGTAAAATCTAACTGACTCGTATAACATGAAATTCATATAAAACGGAATAATCAACAGTGTTATAGGGGGGTCGACTATACTCTAATAGTATAAATGAAAAAGAATTACGAAAATAGTTTGTTAGAATCTTTGAAATATCTTCAATTAAGAACACTTCTTATATTTAAAATGTAAAAGAATTCATTCTATCTGATATCAAACAAAGACGAAGGTTTAGTTTTACGCAATTTTCCCCAAAAATAAGGCCTCAAATACGTGAGATTAATACTGTGAGATAGAGATTTGTAGCGGTTGAACCTCTTTCACATTATCAAGCATTTTTATAAGTTTTAATTTTCTTAATTGTTTAAAGTTTTAAAGCCAGCTTAACCCCAATGTATCCATTTTAAGAGGCCTTTAAGAGATTCTTTACATTTAAAGAAAGGCTCGTTGCATTTTAAACATCCTCCGAAGATTAGTTAAAGATTTATTAATTTTTTACTTTAAAATCTAAAAAAAAATTCATTTTAAAATATTTTTTTTATTATTATTTTTATTCTAAGAATTCTTTACTTAAAATATATTATTATTTTTATTTTTATTTTTTTATATATTTTCTTTCAGCTATCATTAATTATATAAATTAATCGTTAAATCATTTACTTTATAATAGTTAATTTTAGCTTAAAAGTTAATTATTTAGTTTAATAACTATGGCCATAATAACGAAGAAAGGAAGTAAATTCGAAGATTTATATTCATTAGTTATATCCTTTAATAAAATTTATGATGTCAGATGTAATTATAGAAGGAAAAAATATACTGCCATCTGTCAGTGGGTTATTGTATTAATTTGAAACACATTCTGCTACTTCACAATAAAAAAAAAGCCTTCTGAAAAGACTTTTTTTTAAAAAATATTTTCTTGTTAATTTCTCTATAAATTATTAAGGCTACTTTTAAAGGTTTTTGTGATACTTTTCTAAAGCCGAATATATACACTTATAATATATTTTTTAGTAGAGTAGGAAGTTTAACATTGCGTAAAGAGGCATTATTCTTTTAAAATTTTAATACAAAAAAAAAACATATTTATGGATGAAATAATATATAAAACGTGTTATTTTTTTAAATATTAATTAGAAATGATAAATAATAGGCATGATATATTTATATAATTGCTTAAAATATATACAGTCGACTCCCCTATAACACTGTTGATTATTCCGTTTTATATGAATTCCATGTTGTACGAGTCACTTAGATTTTACAAATACGTGTGCCGGGCTGTGAATGGCTCATGTATTTGTAAAATCAAAGTGACTCGTACAACATGGAATTCGTATAAAACGGAATTATCAACATTGTTATAGGGGGGTTGACTTGTATACGGGAGGACTGATAAGACATAATTAAACAATTTATTTGGAAGCGATTGTAAGGTTTGTTAAGAGCTAAAATTATTTATATATAAAACAAAATTTGATACATATTTTCTTGCTTTTTTTCCCCTTAAAATATATTTGAACTGTTTGAAAATGTAATTCCTAAAATCGCGCCCGTCCGTCGTTACATTCGTTCATACAATTGCTTAATAGATTGTTAACTTTAATATTAATAGAAAGAATAAGAAACGAGGTCATTCTATTCATTCTAAACTGGCTTTGGCATATATTAAAGGGAATCTAAACCGATCTCACTCTTTCCAGTTAGAACGAGTTGCGTTGCGAAGTCGATCTTCCTTAGGCTACATTCTGTGTTACATTTAAAAGAATTATGAAAATCCAGTTAAATATTATCAAGAATATAAAACAGGTTTTCTTTTAAATCAACCGAAGGAAGAGAAAAAAAAAAGAAATTATCTTTAGAAATTCGTCTTGGGAGCTTGCGCCATGTTGTAAGCTCGCTTTAAAGACGGACGTGACATAAGAAATGTAGCGCATACGTGATATACAATAATGGTATTACGTTTACGGTAACACTTCGAAGATACTGTTTACTTTGAAAGCAATCCAGAAGAGATGGATACGATTTGATGTTATTTATTACCTAAGGTATAAACAGTATCTTCCTTTGGTGCAGAGGCCTTTAATGCATGACGCATCCACGGATGCAGGCCAAAACTAACAGTATTTTCTTCTATGCTAATGGTCAGTTATAAAAGAAAATTTAAACAGGAAACGATCGCCTTTTTTTTTTATTTTTAACTGTCGAGTTTATACACATTTTACTAACGTCTAAAAAATATTTTTTTTTTTTTTTTAATTTTTGGAAGCAGAAAATACATAGATTTTCACGTAGTTGTTAATGAGTAAATGAAGATAGTTTAAATGTATTTAGGTGAATTATGTTGTATGAATTCATTATATTCAAAGAAGAAAAAACAATATTTAATTATAATATTATGTTACGCTACCTTAAGTAATACAATATAATTTACTTAAATGACCTAAATTAATATCAAAAATCTATAATGAATGAGAGGAAATGTAAGAAAATTTCTTAGATTAGTTGTGTATTTTAAATTAATGTATTCGAATTTTAAATTGATTCATAAAAATTAAATCTCGTAAAGAAGTGTAGTCAATATCAATCGAGCAAATACTTTTAATGCCCCATAAACTTATTATTGAAGACAAAGATTCATATTTCTTGTCTTATGTATGAACTTTACATTTTAAAATTTAACTAAGTATTTTACGATCTTATTTCAAGTGATAACTTCAATATAATTGCTAAACTTATGAGCTATCATACGATTAAAAGTGGAGTGGCGAAACTATAAAAGCCTTTTATTTTCTCTGCTTTCTTATCATTGGAAAGAGGAGTTATCAGAATAGGAGGCCTATAAGAGTTATTCTTTGTTTTCCTTAAATAAACTGTAGGAGGCCTATCGTAGGATATATTTGTTTTAGTGATAATACCGAAGCTTCCTCTTTAATAACAGTTCTGTTGGAGAAAAAATAATAATAATAAGGTCTATGATTAATGGAGTTTCTTATTTGTTTAGAAGACTCTTAGCTTCTAGCAATTTAACCATATTTTTTGCCGAAAATTTAACGCTTTAAAGTGATAATTTTTCTTTTAAATGAAAAATTAAATAGTGTTCATATCCGGTGGGAAATTAAATTAAAAGGCTTTAAAATGCTTCAATCATTAGAAAATGTCTATTTTTAATAGAAGATATGACGTTTAGAGATTTTTAATTAGAATTTAATTATGATAATTATTTAAATATAAACTTTTATCGTAGTTATAATCTTACGAAAAGTTTAGTAAAGCTTTGCAATACTTTTATCGATAAAAGTAGTCTTTGTTTTGAAGCTAAAAATCTTATGTGAGGATCACTTGACGCTATAGAAGAGGAATTGTTTAAGTATTAAGAAGAGTGTAAGGATAAGTACTTCCTGTAAATTAAAATTTAAATAAATATAAACAGGCGTTTATATTTATTTAAGTTTCAGGACTCGAATAAGAGGAAATAAAGATATTTGTTTACAAGTAATTAATGTATAAATGAAAGTGACGATATGTGATTCTTGGCTTCTCCTTTCAGCCTCACCTCAATCACAACTAAACCGTCCAGCCAACCACTAGCGCCATCTGTCTACCTGACTGAGAAGAAAACAGATCAAAGGGGAAAAAACCGGATCGAGTCAACCCAAGCCATCGCTTTTAGCGAATAGCGCTTCGTGCCTGAAAGGGGGGAAGTCATCGCGTCAAGCAGAACGCCCATTGCAACAGCTCTTCTCAATCCTTTCGTACCGTTGCGCGCTGAGTCGGCACAGACGGTTCTGACGGTACTATGGCCATGGTCAACAATTTCAGCAACGTCAAGGATTCCCGTTGGTTACAATTAGAAGTGTGTAGGGAATATCAACGTAACAAGTGCAACAGGCAGGACAGTGATTGTAAATTCGCCCACCCTCCGACTCACGTGGAGATACAGAATGGAAAAGTGATCGCTTGCTACGATTCCATTAAGGTGAGTACTTTACTTTTCTTACAAAATTCGGTCGTCATTTTAAGATTTTTTCCGTCAGTCGTGACTTCAAAGTTACGTGTGAATGCTCTAAAGGCGCTGGAGCGTAGTTCGGCGCGACTTCAAAGGGATTCACGGAAATATAGACGCGTAACGCTGGTTCGATATGTTCTAATTTTATCTTTGCACCTCGTATGTAATTTATTTCCGTCTAATTCGGGTCACTCTCCCGGAATGACCCCTCTAACACTCTTCAAGTTTCGGTTTTGATTGTGGAATCCGTCTCTTTTGCATCTTAAGCCCGAATTTGTGCCCATATCGATTGAGCTTTAATAACACCTTCTGCTATAAGAAAATTTTATTCTAGTTAAGAAAAAAAACGAAGAAATGCTTCATCCGGTTTGTATTTTCATCTTTTTCGTTCACTGGTAATTGAGAGACGACGTTAATCCCTTCTATCCTAAAGTCAGTCGACTGAGAAGTGCTCTTCTGTAACGTTCCAGACGTAGAGGCGCATTAGCGAGCTAATTACTTTCTGTAGTAGATCGGAGACTGGAAACATTGTTTCTGGAAGAGAATACATGCACGACGACAAACTCGGAAAGGTTTTAATAATCGTAAAAGTTCAAAGAGAAGCTTTTACTTCTTGATGATCCCAATCGTAATATGAGATTCGGATTAATGTAGTTTTAATGTTGTAGTTTTCTCTCTGTCTTTCCCCATTTTACAATACTTTGTACAAGATTTTAAAATGTTACAGTTGTTATTAGATTCTTAATTTCCTTCTCATTCCGTTAGTTTTTAATTAATTGAAGTATAATGACGTGTTTGAGGATAACTTAAAGTTGAAATCAAATTGAGAAACTTCTGGATGGAATGAGATATCTTCTAGGAAAAGGGATCACTTCACCAAAACATCTGAACTGTAAGCAGCTTTCTCTATTTTCGAAATGAATTGGACTGTTTAATTCTTAAAATAGAAGCCGATTCGGTTATATCTTTAAAATTAACAGATTTATCTTCTTTGTCAAAGATTCTTATACATCCTGATTTTAATCAAATTGGAGCGGCAATAATAACAAAATTATAATATTATATATTCCCCTATTTTTCTTATTTGATTTTTTTTTAATTTAAACTTTTATTCTGTGCTCAAAAACTAAACAGTAGAGTCGGAAGGTTTAGCATTGTAATTAAGTTTTAAAAACTGAGTTAAGCAATTGTCAACATATAACATATCAAGTTGTTTCCGGCTAGCTAGCTTTGATATAACAATTTGAAATTAAACTATAAAGTAAAGAAAGGTCAGATAGGTCTAACTCATCCCAAGACCCTCATGCCATGCTTTTTATTAGTTGGAGCCGGACGTAGGTAGTTTTCGACTCGGTTTATCCCATGGGGAAGACATTTCCCCTGTGCCTGACAAATCTACTCTGGCTGGATATTTGTCAACGAAGGAAAGAAAATAACAGGATTTCGATCAACTCTGGTCTCACCGTGACCTTTAACCTTTCTCACTAATCGAAAAGGACTCTGGTTCTGTATTTTATGACTACCGATTTGAGCAGATCATTACTTGGATCGAGCCATGCATTAGAAGCAGATCTATTTTCGTCCTTGACAAGATTTAATCTTTCTCTTGTAGCATGCTCGTTTTTCTTTTATTAATCACAGTTCTCGTATTATAATTAAAAGACAGTTTGAAGAAAATAACGAATTATCATAATTCTCATTTATTTTTATTTTTTCTATGAGTAATTTATAAAAACTGCATAAGCTTTCTTTCCCGGCTTTACCTTCATTTTAATCAATTGCATTTTGTTTGGCGCCTTAATTCTGTCGCTTCATCAATTTATCTATTTATAAACATTTATACTTTATCCTTTGACTCAAATTACGTTTACTTTATTCAATACTTTTATGTATTTTTTGTAGATTAACTTTAAATTAAGCTATATCAATCTCGTTTCAATAAATATGATTTTTATCTTGTTTTTTATCTTTTAAATTGCTTTAGATTCATGAAAAATTTAGAAAACTAAACAAATTACCTTAGCTTATCTCTGTTTTCTCATAAAATAGACATATTTAGCGCTTAAAATATTACTTTCTTTGCGTAGTTTAGGCCTAATTCTTTCTTCTATACAATTTTCTTATACTGTGTAAAGACTCAGAATGGTTGAATATATATATACAGACTGAACGAATTTCTTATAAAATAAGCAAATAATCTTAAATCAGTTTGATTCTGTACATACTTTTCTTAGTTAATTTCATTCATTTTAAAAGATTTTCTGGATAAATTTACTATTAACTGCGTATGAAACACCGATATGAAAACGTTTGTTCGGTGGAGTAGAGTGAACATAAATGACTATTATGAAACGATTATCCAAAACTTATCGAAAACCTAAAATGAATCACAAGAGCTTCTTAAGAACTTCTTTGGAAAAGCTAAGACGGATCACGAAATGTAATAATTCTGATAAGTGCATCCTTAAAAGAAAGTTGCACTCAACATCCAAAGAAAAGCAACCGCTGAATTCTTGAGAAACTGCGATCGTAAATATAAAAAAAAAATGATAAATAAATAAATAAATGGAGAGTAGGCTCTTTCTCAGCAAAGATTACAGAAAATTTCTTCTAGAAATAAAACTGTAGATGTAAGAAAACAATTCACTCTCATCTCTCTCTCTCTCTTTCTTTCTAGATAATGCTTCCTTTCTTCATCTTACCTTTCAGAGTTTAATTTTTTTTCTTTTTTTCTTTTCAAAGAAACATTTATTCATATATTTAAAAATATTTTTAAAATATCTAAATAAACAAATTGTTTTTTTTTTCTTTAAATAATCAAAAATATGTTTTAAAGTATATAATTACTAGTGGAAATTTTTGAATCTGCTTTCGCTTCGATTTAAATTTTTATATTCGAAAAATTAATAACATTTTGAAGAGATCAATTTAAAAAGAAACTTTATTAAAATAAAGAAGAATAAAGAAATTATTTGTAACTTAAAATTAATGCACAGAATATAGTTTTATTTACTTTTATTTAGTTTCAAACACGAATCGAATAGCGAAATATATAATTAAAAAGTAACGATTTACTGTAATTTCGGCATGAATTTAGTGAGTTTCATAAATAAAATATTAGTTAAAAAAGTTAGATTTTGTAAATTATTGTTTACTTAAAAAGTTTTTAATTCTCTTTCAAAGATAATTCCCTTTCTTTTACTTTAAAATTTTATACATTTCTTAATTTATTTCTTGTGATTCGGCATAGGTCTCTCTTCGATTCTCTTAGTATCTTTTAGTGGTGCACACATCATAAATTTTATTTCATCTATAAAATGTGTTATGTGAAGTTTTTATAAGTATTTGTGTATTGTAAATAGGTGTATATAGGCCTCATACATAGATTTTAAGTAGAACAGGTGTCTGTTTTACACGATGAGCCTTAAATAGCATGTTATACATCTACGTACTGTAGCTTTAGTGATACTATAAAGCAGAACATTATGTATTTACGATTTGTCAAGGCCTTTCCGTTTTTTCTACAGTACATTATGGTCTAAGGACTCATCCGTTTTTGAGTAAGAGGTCGTTTCTTTCTCGTATCCGAACTAACGAAAAGACGTTACCTATATCCTTATCTTTTCATAGTGAATTTATTTTATGCTCTTCTAGCTATGAAATAGATTTTATATAGTAGCTTATACGTGTAGAAGATCTTTCTCCAAATTCTCTTATAATAATTAAAGGATTCTATTAATCGTTTTATTCCTTTTATCCACCGTTTAGGAACTATAACTAGAAAAAGTTTATAGAAGGAAACAAAATAATAGAAATTGCGTTAAATGAAACTCTCTCTCTCTCTCTCTTTCTAGTTCATTTAATAACAGTTTCTGATATAATTTTAATCTAGAAAAAAACAAAATAATACCTTTTTTTCTGTTGTTTTTTCTCCATAGAAAAAATTTTATATATTTTTTTTCTGAGAAATTTTCGTGATTAAATACTATAATATGATTCTAAGAAAGTGTAAACGAATGTTGTAGATTAACGCTTAAAGCTATTTTAGTGCATCGTTTCGATCAATTTTTACATCTGATTCGATTTACCGAATCAAGCCAATCGATTTTTTTCTCCATTCTCTTAATTAACAAGTAGTGATTGAACGGAGGTGTTACGTTATGTTCTCTTTTCAGCGGTGAGATTTAGAAGTTTTTTTTTTTTTTTAATTTAAGTTAACAAAAAAAACATTACCTAATGTACCCGAAACATTAGTTTTTTATTTGTAACAAAAAATATAGAAGAAAAATTTAATGAATAAATATAAAATAGTCACTCGTTAGTGCGCTCCGAATTGGATTTTAAGTTTTATTGTAAGATGAAACGAAGTTAAAAGTGATAAAAATGAATATTTGATCCTTGGTTAACTTGAAAAATTTATTATTATATAAAATACTAAAAGAATAAGTCTAATTTTTATGTTTTTTTTCCTTTAGTTTAAATAATATTTATCGTTATTTTAGTTAATCTGAGTGACAAAATGAATAGATCTGTGGTAAAACTTTACGTAGAGAATTTAATATTTAACCTTTAATTTCGTTGAAAGTTTTCTTTTAGAAATTATATAAGTTACGGCGTTGTTGACAGAACTTTTTCCCAATTTGCCGTTTCGAAAGAACAAGACTAATTTAACGTTTTTTATTTTTTTTTTCTCTACGAAGATATTTATCGCTACTTTTATCACTCTTAGTGACATTGAATAAACTGATATTAAAGTTAAATTATAAATTCTAGAAGCCAGCAATTAGAAATTATTTAACTTGTAGTATAAATTATATTACTAGCAGATCGTTTTGTCAATTAGAATCAGGCAAAAAGAAAGGGAGGAAAAAAAGTAAACTTGATGCTATAGGTATGTTGGACGAAGGATAAACTCGCTACTTGTTGTCCAGACAGGGTAAGTAATAGCTAGTCAGACACAAATCTTCCGG